AAGTCTCAGACCTCATGGCTTGATCAACACTGAATGCATGCATGTGTATGCCAAGATCCAAGAGGACAATGGAGAAGGGACTGCAGTATGGCCACCTCCTTTATAGGGGTGATTTCTCACTTTTCCTCTTTCTGTCTTCAGCAAGTACAAGAGACTCACAGGAAAAAAAAAAAAAAAAAAAAAAAAAAAAAAACAACTGTTCCCAGAGTGGTAATATAACCTGTTATAAAGAAACCAAGAGATTATTGATACATATTAAAGGATAACCAAGGAAAAATATACATCGGTTGTAAAGTTTCTAATACCTGAGTGTTTTAAGAATGGATGCTAAGAAAACAACTGTAGTAACATGTATCCTCAGCTAGTGCTTTTATCCAAGCCACTATTGGTTCACTAGCTAAAATCTTCCTTGAGCAAATTCTTAACTGCTGCAGGGCTCAGTTATCTCATATGTAAAACAGGGTTGCTGAGAAGATTAAACAAAAACAATTCACACAAAGAACTTGGCATAATGCTTCTCATATAAAGGAGTACTGTATCTTATACGCACTTAGCAATGGAATAACTGTGCTAGAAAACACAGAGTAAAACTAACTAAAAACTCGAAACTACCCAAGAAAACCATGGTTAAAAAGAACAAGTGGACACAATTGTAAAGACAAATGCTATCTTCACAGATGGCTTCTTCTTGCCACTTTCTGAATACCCTGAGTGGGGACGTGTATTTGGTCTAGTATACCACCTACTATATAACACAAAACACTCCTGATTCCTTGTTTTCATTTTTTTTTATTGTTGTATAACAAATTACCACAAACTTGACAATTTAAAACATGAATTTATTATCTGACAGTTCCATTGCATGGCTGGTTACTTTGCTTAGTTCTCCCCAGGCTGAAGGCATTGGATAAGGCTGTGGTTTCTAGTTCCCATGAAGCCATCTTCCAAGTTCATGAGTTGCTAGTAAAGAAAAATAACAAAAAAACAACTCTTTCTTTGCAGTTGTAAAACTGAGGTCCTTTCCGTTCTACTTGTTTGCTGGGGACTATCCACCAACTTCAAGCTACCAAGAGTTACTTCCTATGTGACCCCCACAGGCATTTTGGAACACAGGTGTTTGCTTTCTTCCAGGCCAGCCAAGAACTGAAATGTTGAATCCCCCTCATACCTCTAATCTCTAAAATCTCCAGTCTCTGACCTCCAGACCCAAATCTAATGGGCTTATATAATTAGCCCATCTGGATAATCTCTGTTTTAAGGTCAAAATGATCTGGCACCTTAATAACATCTGCCAACCCCAGCACAGCAGTTAGCAAGAATGGGGTTTGACTATGTAACTGGGAGGTGTGTGTACACCAGGGGACTGGGAACCCGGGGGACCATCTCAGATCCTCTCTACCTCTACCTTGAAACACATGCAAGTCACAGGATCAAACAGTGATTTTTTAGTGGCACTGCTGCATTTAGCATCTGTCCCTTTAGCGATTTCTCTACACTCCACTTACATTTGAATGACAAGTTGTTGAATATCACAAAGGCCAAGAGGCATTTTAGAAGAGTGACATATTCTTGCCCCACACTCTTAGGACATCTTTGAATGATGTATAATTATGGGTCTCTCACCTCACTCTGTGCCCCTAACACCTATACAAGCATTGGGTCAAGAAAAGGATCTGTCATTAAAAAGAAGAAAAAAAAAAGAAAGGCAGCTTTTCAACTCAAAATTGCTTACTATTTCTTTCTTTAAGATTGGAGAAGTGTCAGTTTGATCAATGTAATCCTGGTCATAAATCAGTTGAGGCCAAGTCTGGTTCTGAGGAGGTACTTGAACATATGCTCGCCCTGAACATATATTTAACAGCAATATATTACATGTTGTCAAACTAACTGGCTTCATTCAGGGAGGCTCTACTTCAGACACAAGCTGAGAAACCAGTCATAAAAAAGGAGCTAGGAGCAAATGCTAAGCTGAGGGGAGAGGTGAAATACAAATCATGTGTGAGATGCTTATCCTCAGGGCCCCAGAAGCAGTTGTCCTTACAACTGGTCTCAGCCAGGTTCAAACTCCAGAATGTTTTTTGAGATTGATCTGCATTTGGAACACTCCAGGGTGGCTAACAACAGCTGTCTCAGCAACCAGCCCAGGAAAAAAAGATAACCTTCACCTCCCATCCCAACCAAGATCCTTGAGGGTCAATCTATATTTGAGTCCTTTAATATGTTCACACATATTGCTAGCTAGTCACAAGGCTATAGAATTGTCAACACAATATACTACAGGAACAAAAGGTAATCCAATGATTTCTTGATCATCTCAAGGTATCACAGAGTTTATACCCACAATGTAAAGGTTGAGTTGACAGAAATCTTAGACACTGATTAAAAAATGTTTCCATGTTTACAAGTTCACATTTTGGATTGTGTCCCAAGGAAGGGTGTAAGTGCATTTTAAATTAACTCATTTTTTGTACTTTTTCTCCTCTCTTTATTTGATAGAGGTAATTATGAGCCTTAATAAACTATTTTAATTTCTAGCTCTTTTAAACCTTCATTTCTATGGTGTCAAGGGATTCTGCAGCCCATAAATCATAATCAAGCTGGCATTCTTACACTGCTAATAATGCACTGATTCTTGAGCCAGTTATTCAGCTCACCCCACTTCATCCTCAACAAAAGTGAAGCTAATGGGGGCAGTAAGTGTCCTTCCTGTGTTACAGGACTAAGGTAATGTCTTTTTTTCCTCGAGAACTTCTCTGTGATAATCAAGTTCATCCCTATAATGAACTAGGATTTCTGGCTTAGCACTGGCAAAAATCAAATTTTGGTATATATTTTTAAGAAAGAAAGAAAAATAAAATTTTTAACTACAAATTCTAGCCTTTTTTCTTTTGCTTACTCCCACCTAATGCCTACGAACATGAGAAAACAATACTTTGCTCATACTCAGTTAAAGTGCTCCATGTTGCAAAAAGTCAGACATACCTAGTTATATATTTGGTGAGCAATAATTTACTTGGAATAAGCTTTTATTTGCTTACAGCCATACTTGTAAATGAAAAAATGTTACAATGCATGAGTGTAGGAGTTTTTCTTTTTATCCAGTAAGATCTTGAAGTTATGTTTATATGTTTTTGGTTTAATGTAAGAATATGCTCAGATTGCCTAGGTGGACAATTGTCCATCCACAGAATTGCTTGCCTTTTAAAGCAGGGAGCAATTTGTCTTCATGGATATTTGAGGGATGAATGATCAAGTGTGATGTGATTTGGGCTGTCTACTGGTCCCTTCCAATTTAAAACTTCAATACTCATTAACATCATAATTATACACTTCACCTAAATAATACCCTGTAGTCTACTTTAGATCGTTTAAAATGTCTTTTTTTTTTTTGAGAGGTTTTGGCTATAGGGCATGTGCGCTCGCCAGAAAGACAGAGAGAGACAGAGAGACAGAAAGCGAGAAAGCACCCCCCAGGGGGGATGGCCACACTGCAATCCCTTCTCCTCCATTCTCCTCTCGGGATCTTGGGCATGGACTCACATGCGCCCGGTACGAGTTTAAGCCACTGGGTCCAGGACACGAACCACCGTCAACTACATGGGAGTCCAGCAACATAGCCATTACGCTAACTGCTGGTCCCTAAAATGTCTTCTTTCTCAATTGCATTAGGCACATATACATACTACTACAAAAAGAGTGCTGGCCTAGCCTCTGTGGCACAGCCAGGACAATGCCAGATTGCAGAGCTGGAAGCTACTTGCCAACTATGGTTCAAATCATCAGCATGCCCAGCCCGAAAACATACAGAACTCACGTACATAGGCAAGATCCTGGCAGGCTGGAGGACCACTAGATGGAATTATGGTGTGGCGTTACCAGGCCCTCTGGAGGGTGCCTTTCTCTTTCTTATATGCACATACATTATATTAAACATTTTTTAAAAGTAACTACTTGTTCAACATGTCATTAAAAACGTACACATTATGGGACCAGCAGTTAGCGTAATGGCTATGTCACTGGACTCCCATGTAGTTGACCACGGTTCGAGTCCTAAACCCAGTGGTTTAAACTCACACCGGGTACATGTGTGTGCGTGCCCAGGATCCCAAGAAGAGAATGGAGGAGGAGGGAATGCAGCGTGGCCATCCCCCCTGGGGGGTGATTTCTTGCATTCTGTCTCTTTCTGGTAAGTGCATGCGCCCTATAGCAAATCCTCTCCAAAAAAATAAATAAAATAAAGTACACATTATGATTGCAGGTAAAATCTACCTTTCGGCTTTGGTAAATGGCTACACACTTTACAGAGAAGCCATAGTATCTCAGAAAATAACAGTAAGAGAGCTCTAGTAATAAGAACAGACTTTCAGAAGTAAATATTAGTCCTCGTCTCAAAAGCATCTCAGTTTCATCAAAGAAATACTTCTGGTGCCTAACTAAAAAGACCCAGGTTTTTTTTTTTACTAACATTCTGAATTCTCCCAATTTGGGTTTTTTTCTTTCATGGTTTGTTCATTTTTATGATTATCTGATTATTTCAAAATGTAATTCTTGCCTCCTTGCAACCATCCTAAGTTTGAAAGATTGGAACAACAATTAGACAAGAATAAGTTCTAGCTCCATGACTGACTTGTTAAAGAATCCTGGACAGATAACTTCAACTTCAGACTAGTTGTGAAGCTCTCATAAAGGGATGGATTTGGAAAGCATAAGAAGTACACAGACATAAAGCTTCATATGCTTCTAGGTACCACAAATGCTTATCCAGAGTTAGGCTCCTAACAGATTAGGCTGATAACCCAATAATACAACAAATAAAAAGAACTATTTAAATTAGTAAAATAAAAAGAACTCTCATTTCCAATTGATTAATCACTATTCCCATATTTAAATTTTTTAAACTTAAAATTATAATATTGATTATATACTAAAACATAATTGCATGTAAATATAAACTATAC